AGTTTTGATATAAAATTCGATAAGTCGGTCATATGAGCTCACCCCAGCGTGACCGACTTATCGAGTTTACATGTGTATTTCCATTGGAAAAGATACAAGTACAAGAAAGAATTTGTCTTCGTACATTAAATCCATTGCAACTTCATTCAGATCCTTGTTTTTTTTTCATAAGTTTATTAACCATTTTGATATCATCAAAAGAAGGAAATTGTTCATTTGTTGTTTCTTCATTGCCTGCTAGGATATATTGACCTTCTAAACATTTGTATTCAGCTTCCGTGAGATATACTGCAATGTTACGTTCGCTTAATTTTAGCATTATTATTTTAATATTTAACAATTTTCCAACTTTTAATGTGAATTATTTATACAATTTAGCGTATTATATTTAATATCAAACTTTTGAATTAAATTGTTTGTTTTTTAATTGTTCTTAAACAATTATTAACACCAAATCTTGTATTATTAAACAATTATTTAAAAACTCTTAAAAAACGACCAAGTGGATTGATAAAATTATTTACAATATGAATGCTGAACGTTATTTAGTAAATCTCACGGATAGAGAATATAAAAAATATATTTATCATCCAATAGTTCGTTTCCTCCAACTTCTACTGCTAAAAAAATCTTTATGGATCCGAATAATATAGTGAACATAATCAAAGAACAAACAAATGATATAGAACAAATACCAGAATGGGTACAAAAATTTATTCCTCAAAAAGTTACTATAAACATAAGTTTAGACAAAAAATCTTGACATATAAATTAAAATATTAAGAAAAAAAATTTAATTATAGCAATATTAGTACGTTTTTTATTAATATTAATATTAGTATGGTAATAATCGCGTAAAACTATTTCGATTGACCAAAAAATTTATATTTTGAATTTTTTTTTTAATCTTCATGTATTGAATTGTATTAAATTTCATTTATTGTTTAAACTTTATTATAGCCTTATTAAGAGACAAAAATAGATATTTCTTTAGTCATATATTAATATACTCGTATCTTTAGTATTAGTTATAATCATAATAGGCATTTTTTTTAAATTCAATCATTTTTTAATTCAGGAAAATGTATTGTATATTAATTATACATCGAATACTTTAAAAAAAAAACAATACAAGATGATTTGAAATATTTATCATATACACGTATATATATATATTAATATAAAAGATGATGATACTTTCAATAAACACGATTTTATTTTATTTCTACATCTTTATCAAAAATTTCAAATAATTTATTTGATAAAAACTTTCGTTAATTATAATTTTTCCATATATATATATATATATATATTATTCAAAATTTTTAGCAATGAAAGAATGAATATTTTAATATTCAAAATTTTAAATCAATTTCATTGGTTGGTACTGGTCAATACGGCGAGAATATGTAAACAACTAAAGATGAAAAAATTGTAATTAATTATTCTTTTATTGTACAAAGATTTCAAAGCAATTATTTGATAAAGATGTAGAAATAAAATAAAATCGTGTTTATTGAGAGTCCTTTTCACCCAAATTACGATTCTTTTTAAAATTTGTCGGAGATATAAAATCAAACTCGTTTAAATTGTCTCCTTTTTTAAGATATATATCATAAATAAATTCACATTCTCTTTCCCTTTGGTGATAGTATTTTATAAGTTCCTGATATACGGAATTTTTGGCTTCACTTTCCTTCGATATTTCCTCCTTAATCTCAGCTTGTAGTTTTTCGTTTTTGTCCGGTTTATTTTCAAGTTCCAAGTAAATAATTTTTAATTTTAGTAACGTTTTCCATTTCATTAAATGATTTTGACTGCTTCCTTTGAGCAAACTTTTGGCTTCATCTAAAAATTCGCTAATAAATTCGACGGATTTGATTTTAGGCTTTAATTCATTTAATTCATCTTCTAATAATTTTTTATTATCTACATCTTTATTTAGCCAATTTTCGAGTTTTTTAATCTGAACAGAAGTTAAGCCTAGAAGTTCGACTTTTTTATTTTTTGATGATTGCTTTAAATCATCTTCGTTTATATTAGTTTTGAGAACTCTGATGTTAATTTTTTAAGTTTATCATCTTTTTTTAATAATTCACTTTTTAAATTTTCAATTTCAATTTCCTTTTCTTTAATTTTTTGTTTTAAAATTTTGATTTCATGTTTAGATTTTTGGTCAATTCTTTTGTATCTACTGATTGATGATGAGTGGCGTAATGTGGTGGCGTGCTTGATAAAGTTTCTTTGCATGTTTTGTTAAAATAAAATAAAGATTTGTTTTTTCTTGTTATATATTTATTTGCAAGAGTTTTTTATTTTTTGAGAGTATCGCTTGTTCAAAATCGTCCTTTTTATAATACTGAAATATAGGTACACAGTTATCTATGTTAACTAAAAATAAAGAACAAGGAATAAAGTTACGTCCGAAAAAATTAGCGCATGATAAACAATCATAATTAAAAGAATAAAGTTTATAAAAATAAAGATTGAAAGGAAAATTACGTCCGATAAATTAGTGCATAATCATAATCATAATCAGAAGAATAAAGAAGTTCTGTGTTTACTAAAAACAAAGTATGGAAAGGAATAAAATTAATTAATGCATAATCATTAGTAAAGAAAGTTCCATGTTTACTAATACAAAGATAAAAGGAAAGTTCATCAGATAATGCATAATCATTATTCAAAAAAAAAAAAATAAAAAGGAAGTTGCATCCGATAAATTAATACGTCCTATGTTTACTAAAATCAAAAACAGAATAAAATAAAGTTAATTGACGCATTAGAAAAGTGTTTACTAAAAACAAATAGAAAGGAAAGCTGCGTCCGATAAATATACATTATTATTATATATATTAATATATGAAAAAAAGAACAGTTTTACGCGAAGGATAGTTGATAATCATTCCTGAATTTGATTTGTTACACCATTTTAATTAGTGTCATGGATATCACTTGGAGTAAAAGTTTCCCCAATAAATAAACACAGTCACGATGAACCCTATTGAGGATAAAGAGTTCTTCTGCATTTTATATTATTAATAATACCAATCATCAGTGTGACTTTTATCTAATCAAGGATATCAAAGATAACGATAGCAATAACAATATGAAGGAATAACGCGTAACCGTTCAGGCACAACTTTATTAACCCATTTACAGTATACAAAGATATTTTATTACATAAAGCGTTATATATCCAGCAAATGTTATAAAAACATTAGTGCTGATCAATTTATTTTAGTATAGTACGATGCAAAAGTAGATTAAATCACAAATCTTTTTTTTTAGTAAAACAATTTTTTTTTTACTGATGATATTCTTAACAATACTTTGTATTTCATAAAAAC